ACTATAAATAAATTATAAATATTTTTTATATCTCTTTCATAATTGAATCGCTATAACTTTGAATTAATAATCTGATTTTTTTTTTAAATATTATAAATAATTCTTATATCTGCTCTGTGATATTCATTTATTTTCGCAAACTCCTGCCAAAGTCTCAACTTTCTTGAATATAATACAAACTTGGGCTTTCTCCCTTCCGCCCGTTTCATGGCAAAAGTCATTCATAATATTTTCTAGTTCTTCATTCATTTTTTATCCTTAATTTGTAAATATGATTTATGACATGTGCAGGTGTGTGTGTGTGTGTAGATGGGTTCGTCTCACCTGCCGGCACGCGAACGATGATCCTGGGACATTTTTCGCGGCTGCTGTGCGTTTTTGGGCGTAGGTGAAAGTTCGCGCGAACTTTTACTGGATGCCGTGCCACTGCCTGAAGCACCGGCCGCACTCTGGCCCACACTACTACCACTAACGCCACCGCCACCGCCACCGCCACTGCCAGCCCCATCATCCAACTCCACGACGATGCTGGTGTTGGTGCCGCGTCTCTCGCGTCCCGGCTGTGGCGACGATGTGGGAATGCTGGTGCGCTTGTGGTGCTTCAATGGCGTGCCGCCAACGCCAACGCCAACGCCACCGCCACCGCCACCGCCGCCGGCGACAGCACTTACTGCGCCTGCGGTCGTGCCAGACGCGCCTTTGCTGTGGTCCACTTCATGGCTGGTGGTGGCAGCGACGCCGCCAAGATTTGTGCTCAAGAGCTGCCCATTGCCGTTTAGTGCTGCCTGAGTTTTGGCTTTGATTTTATTTGGCTCGACGGGAGTTGGCTTTGGCGTGGGCAGCGGCGATTGCTGTTGTTGCTGCTGCTGCTGTTGTTGGTGTTGTTGTTGTGGCTGCGTGTTTGTTGTACGCTTGATAGTCACAAAGCGCAGGTTCTCAAATATCGATGTGAAATGCTGCGACATGTTGTATTTGGTTTGGTTTGATTTTGTGCAAGACTTTTTTCCACTTTTCTCCTTTTTTGCTCTCTTCTCCTTTTGATTGTTAGCCTCGTTTATTTAGAATGCAGCCAGCACAGGTGAACTTGAAACCCTCTCGAGCTCAGCACAACTTTTGATTAAATTCTCTTAAAGAATGACGAGAAAAGTAAACCGAAAAAAATGAAGGAAAATCAACGAACTTTAAAAAAAACGACAAAGTTCAGCTTTGCTCTCTGGACAGCAAGCCACAGCCAATTGGTTTCCAGTTGTTTCTTTGTTGCTCCTCGAGTTTTTTTCTGCAGATTGAAAACTTTAAGCGAACATTAGTTGAGCAATCAGTGAATCAAGCAAATGGCCAATATGAGAATGCGAAATGAGAAACGTGGCTAAAAAGTTTACATTTAATTTGGGCAAATAAAGCAAATAATATGATATAATTCAAATTATGCAAAGCCAATTAAAATATGATTTCAATTTAATTGTTACTGAAATTTGCTTATTATTGTAAACTCATTATATTTATTATTTA